TATATATATATATACTTTTTTCTATTCAGTATTTGTCCCAGAAAATATTATTATTTTTCTAAAATTTTGACTTCATTATTAATTCTTCAAAAATAAAAAAAAGTTATATATGTAGATATATAGTGTGTAAAAGAAATGTATCATGAATTATTTAACAGTAATCACTAATAATGTAATAAAAACAGAATAACATACAGAATATAATACATACAAAATAACGAATTTTATTATGCTCTATGAAAAAGCATAATGGCAGCCATATTGAAATTTTTTCCCGCCTTCGAAGTTACTTCAGTAATCGATTACATAATCTGTAAAAAATAAAATAAAAAATCTTCAAATAAGCATATAAAATATATTGATTTAATTAATTGTATTAAAATGAAATAACAATCAAGTTGAAATTCAGCTTTAAAAAATTATATTACAAGTTATTTGTAACTATAACCTTCAAATATATGCAAAAAAAAATAATAATTTAGCTCCCAAAACATATTAATTATATTAACAAGTATATATTAATTGAATATTACAACTATATATTATATATGAATGATCAAAAAAAGCTATAATAAATAAATATTACGTAAAAAATTAATCACATACCTCAAAGAAAAGAGACACGTCTTTACACCACAATTATCGACACTACAATGACGCCTGACATCAATTCGATTTCGATTATCGAATTTAGAGAGGAGAATATAATATGTTCAACACTTCGATAAATCGAATATAACTATATTAAATATATTTAATTATATATTAATTAATTATATTAAAAAGAATAATAACTATTATATTAAAATTAAATAATAATCAAATTGAAATTTCATTTTATAAAGTCATGATTCGAATTGTTTGTAATTCTAACCGTCAAAGAGATAACTAAAGAAAAAAGTATAATTTAGCTTTCATAATTTCAATTATATTTATTATATTAATAAATAGATAGATTAAATACTAGATAAAAAATAATTATGGAAATAATATTAATTATGTAACGGATAAATCACATATTTCACGGAAAAATAATACGTCTATACACCACAATTATCGAGAGCACAATGACACTTCACGGTTTCGATTGTCGAATAAGAAATTAGGGAGGGCATGTGCTCGATAGTTTGGAAACAAATCGAAACATATCGAGCATGTTACGAATACGAACCACAATTTCTTATAAGAAATTTTTGTAATCTCAAGCTTAATACAGATGATAGACAGAAACAAATATATAAACAATATATAAAAATATTATATTCATATGGTTAAGAAATACATATGCGTCATTCAAATAACACAATTTAATTAAATTAAATTAAATTAAACGTAATAAACTTTTTATATGAATAGGAAAGACAATAAAACAATTCTATATATATATGTAACTTTATTAATATAATTAAAATATTACCTGCTTTACAGGAATCATTTGATTGGTTATTAATCGTTGTAGAATTTCTGTTATTAAACCGTTATTCTTTCTTCATTCTGACAATCGAATGATAATCTGAACAAATAATAATCAATATCATAAAACAATATTTGAAATTAAAATTATATTATAATAAATGAATTCAAATTTTGTCTTGATATATTTCGATATGACATACTATTGTGATGCCAACCATCAAACAGACGATCGAAACGAATAAAGAAGTTTAAAACACTAATTATATCACAATATTGAAAAAATTATTAAATAAACTAAATTAATCTATAAATACGGTAATAAAATAGGAATAGAATTGCGTACTGCTTACTACGTAGTAAAGGTGAAACACTTCAAGCCGATGATATGTCACTACGATGACTTTCGACAGATAAATGACGCCATATGCAACAGGTTCTCTTAGAGATCTTCTGATTGGAGGAACAATATGGTTTCTTATTTACTTAGTCGCGCGAAAATTGAAATAAATATATTACATAATACACTTCAATTATGAATCGTTATAATATTCTATAAAGCTTCACATATTAAAAATGTAATAAAAATAAATTAATAAATTTAATTTTACACGATAATTAAATTTATAAAATAATTAAAACATAAAGGTTAGCTAAAATATAACTGAAAATAACACAAGTATAGAATTAATATATAAATTAAATGTAAAAGAATATAAAAAAGAACTGGAATGTAATATGTCAACTAAATTAAAAGAAATTAAACATATAAAAGGTATTAAACATAAGAATTAATTAAATTTAATAAAATTTTAGATATAAGAAAAAAATTTAGCACAAGAGTTTATTAAATTAGGAGAAACAAAAACATAAAAAATATACAAAAAATATGAGATTAACTAAATATAAATAAAATATGAAAATATAATAGAAGAATTTAATATAAAACTTGGATGAATTTGAAAAAATTGCAACATGTAAAAAAAAATTATCATAGATATTAATTGAATTGAAAAGAAAGATATAAAAATTGAAATTTAACATAACAATTAACTAAATATACAACAAAATTGTATAAATAAAAGAGAAGGATTTATATAAAAGTTAAACAAAAGTAATATAATATAAAAGCAAAATAGAATTTAACAAAGATATTAACTTAAATAGAAAAGATTGAATATAACAACAATAAATCTAACAAAACTGGAACATAAAAGAAGAATTTAACATGTAAGTTAGATAAATTAAAACAATCTGATATATTTATTGTTATATTCAATAGAAAAGATTGAATATAATAACAAATATAAATCTGACAAAACTGGAACATAAGAGAAGAATTTAACATCTAAATTAGATAAATTAAAACAATAATCTGAGACAATAAGAAAGTAATGTAATAATACAATAACATACAATAACACAATAACAAAACTAAACTAAACAAGATTGAAGCATAAAACACTATTAAACACAACAATTAATAGAATTTAACAAAATTGAAAGATATAAGAGAGAGATTTAATAATTCTTTCAAACATTACATATTACATTATATGCAATAATATAAATATATATAACATAACCGGTTTTGGATCAAGCATCTCATTAATTTTTTTATAAATATCAATACAGTACTAACATATGCTTTTATATTATTATCATATTTTTTTTTAGAAAAATAACTTTTACAAGAATAACTTATTTATTGAAATAATTTGTCTAAAGTCAAATTTTTACTATCTATTCATAAACTCATGAACAAAGTTTAAACTTAAAAAAAAAACTTTGCCATCAAAAACTTGAAATATACAAAAAAATGCTTCAATCACAATCCAATGAATAATTGCAAGTTGTATGGATTATTCATTAAATGTTTTACATTGAATGTATATAATTAAGAAAACTTGTCCATCAGATAAATCATGGAAAATCGTTTTCAATCTAATCGATGGAAAACTTTTACGGATCCTTCTTCATGCCAATTACGTTGGGCCGAATATTTATCCCATTTTAAAAAAAGAGCAGCCTCTGGTACCACTCGTAAAGCATCCCTCGACACTGATGCCAGACGATAATTAAGTTTCGGCGAGGAGTCTGCGGTCGAGTTCCTCTCTCTCTTTTGAATCTTTATCTCTCGACAGCATCCTTCCTCCTTTCTCCTCCTCCCTTTTTCTCTTCGGCAGCGGGTGGATTGTTACGAAAGGATTTGCGGTAATCCTCGATCTAATTTGCATGCTGATGGTAATGGATGTGTATCTTCCCTTATTCCTCCGGTTTCGTCGCCTGATCCTTCTAACGACCACATTCGCGGCGAATGCAGCTGGTCGGACACCTTATCTCAAGGTTAGTCGCACCTGTCCCTCGAAACCATCGTTTTCGAGATAAAAGCGTGAAAGAGGATCCGTGTGGATATTGGATCGACGTTGGATGATCGCGTGACTGGTTAGAGTTCGAACGTTACTCTTCATCGTCATAATTGGGATATCGGTGATGGTAACGTGGCGCCAAGGATGACGAATTTTTGATATATGATACTTTAATGTATCGCGGCGATTAAGGTGAGTCGAGGCGTAACGAAATTATGGAAATCGAGGTAAGCCGACGTGGAATAGGTTCGGCTGCCTGATTCTAGGAACATAACCTTGACATAACCTCAAAAATGCAAGTTTTAATTATGAATTTGTAAGTAAACTTTTTAATTTAATAATATTTATTAAAATAATTTTATTTTTCTCTTCAATTTAATTATTATTTATCACTAATTATTAAATTATTACCAGATTCCTGTATTATGCAATATGGAAATAATTTATGTTAATGAGTTAAAAATGAGCAGCAACATTTTCTAACCGATTATTAAAATTCAAAATTACAATCATTATTACAAATCAACCAAAATATCGACGACATCATGATTGGTAATTCCAAATCGTTCCTAATAATTTATACATCCAATATATAAAAGAAAACAAATCAAATAGATACTTTATCAGTATCCATTCTTTCTCTTCAGGAATATCGAGGAGTGAACAAAATTACGGGGCGGACAGGTGGTAGCCCATCGAGATCTCTTCGCGCGCAAGGACGTGGCCAAAGTCGTTACGTAGGTAACTGGTCGGCGAGTCGTTGGTACCCTTTCAGATCTCTCGGCGTAGCGTAGCGATCACGTGCAGGAGAGTCGAGGTTACCACACGAGGCGGAGCATGGACGAGTGGACAAAATAGGAAGACGAGGAAGAACGCCCACCATGGCACCGTAGGCCTATCGGAGTCGACGCCGATGGAAAAAGAACTCGACTGTTAACAAGATGGTGCTGCTCACTCTCGACACTGTGGCAACTTGCTCGAAGAGCAAGGTCTCTCCTTTCGTGGCCTCTCTCTCTTTCTCTCTCTCCTCCTCTCCTCTTTCTTTCACTACGTATGTCCACCCTTCCTCAATATGGCCGACTTCCCTCACCCTTTACTGGCCTTCTAGTAATCGTCGTTCCTTCTACCCGCTTCCTCGTTCGTCCTTTGGTCGCCAACCTCCTTCGTTGCCGGTCTTTTCGAACATTCGTGTAATCGGCCTACGGGTCGAGAACATTTTGTAAGAACATTATCGAGTACACGTCGCTTATAGATAACTTGTATCCGACGATACCGCTTCCGCGATCGTTGTCGTGGTCGAGAGGTCTTGGGCGGGCAGAATGTACCGGTATTCAATGGGAAAATGTTGGGTTAAAGGAAGAGGATAGAGAATTGTTGGAATTTTTGCGGTTTGGTTTTTTTCCCGAATGCGATGGTTCGATGAATGCTAGTTAAATTCTCTTTGACCGTTATGTCAATGATTCTCGACAAGGAATTCGACTTTTGATACTTGGTAACTTTTTATATATAATAAACTTAAAATGTTTGTTTATTTTATTACTTACGAAAACATGTACGAATTTTTTAATGGCTATGTTAATAATTATCGTCTATTTTTTATCGGGCATTAAGTAAGACTTAAACCTCTTGTAAATGGAATTATGAGATTTGAAGGATACAAAAAGTATGCAGGTATAAGGTGATTAACTCCTTAAGTATCATAAAGCTTATGTCATAATAGGAATTTTTATTTAAGAATACATAATAATTGTACGTATAAAATAGGCTCATAATATATATTTTCAATACATTTTATACATTTTTATAATTTTATTTTATATTCAAGTAATGATGATTTAACTAGATGACCAGCTATCAAGTCAAAGATTAAAATCTTAAAAAGATAGTAAATTTTAAGTTTGATCATCAACTCTTTCTATTTACGTATTGACGTTATATTTTATAAATGTGAAGAGGTTAAGTCAAGATATAAATCGATTTATTAAATTATAATATAAAAATAATAACAAATGGATTCAAAAATTTAAAAATCCTTTCGTAGGGAAAATAACGAAATTTTAAATTCGATTAATTCTAATTGTATCTATAGAAATAAAAGTTTAAGTTAAGAGGTTAAATCATCGCGAGTATCACGCCGCCATTCGTCTTGTCGCCATTCCGCTCGAATCACCACGGGAAAATATTCTACGTTCGTGTCGTTATTGATACCCGCGTCGTTCCACGATATTTTTGCACCGTCTGAATATCGGGTGGCTTAGTTACCCGATACGAATTATCAGACGGCGGCCACTCGCGTGTGAACGTTGTACCGATTACATCACGATAGGTTTAAAGGTTGAGAAACACGACATCTAGACATTTATAAGTGGGTCACGATACGTCTGTATCGGCTTGCAGAACGCGGACGTGGAAGAGATTAGGGTACAATACCTGTAATCTTAGCCTCGGTTTCCACTTAATGGCCACGGCATACAACATCTAAGAATGTTCGCGTGCGATTTTACTTGCTAATAAAGAGAAGAAATGGAGAGTATGAGGAAAGGTGAATTCCACGAGAAACTGGTCGATCACTGTGAGATTATGCTACCGAGGGGTTGCTCGTACGTTAAAAGTAATTGAGAAAGGAAATTATCGCTTTTACGTACGACATCGTGGCCCGGATTTATCGTGGCTATCATCTCGTTGTACTGTAATTTTCAATTATCGCAAGAAGCCGACTGTGCACAGCAATAATTTTATTCCGAATGGATAATACGTAAGTGTTAATTTACGACAGTGGCGACATTTGATTCTAAATCTTGAAATACTTTCATTGATAAGCTTGTAGTGATATACAGTAATAAGTTTAATGCTTTGGATCATAAGTTTTGGAATTTGATTAATTTTTTGTTGTAGAATTATTAAGAAAATGTAATTATAGGTTAAGTGATTTTGTCTTATTATATTTTTAAAGTATATTAAAAATAATAATAGATAATAAAAAAATATCTTTATTTAAATAGTATATATATTTACATATTATTATTTAGATTCTTTTTCGTTTAGATTGTTCTTACTAAAAGAATTATTAAGATTTTTCTTTTGTTGTACATTATCTATAAAAGATGCCAAGTGTCACAGTTTTCTTTATTCCTATAAATGAATTCAGGTGGCGTTGCGACTGTCTTAACCTAATCTTACACGTTAACGAAGTGGAAAATTTGAAATTTCAATGTATTTTAGTAAACCAAAAATTAATGAAAAATTTCAATATAGAATGGATCGAAAATGACTCAAAAACGATATATTTCATATGATAAAGACATACCTATTAACTATTAATATTAATACAATATTTCCAAGAATAAAAACGAATAAGAAAAATAAAATTTTGTTCCTTCTTTAAAAATGGACAGAAGAGTATCACAGGCGATAATTTTTCAAATTTATTCGTCGGATCGCTACAGTATGCGATCGAATTAAGTGTATTTGTAGTACAGTCGCATTTTCCAATTCCAGATCCTTTCTTTTCGAAGGCAAATGGCCTCTGGCGCGGTGACAACTTCTGGCTCGCGTCTGAATGTGGTTTCAGAATTCTCGAGGATGGGGCACGCGTCGACCCTCATGTAAATTGCTTCATACTGCAAGGACACACGCTCAACTGTGAAGAATACGAGTTACGAGTTCGGCAGAAATAGTCTTCCGTTTCACAATCTCGATGTTGCTTCTCTTGAAAACTTTATACATATTATTCTATGCCATTCAAATGTAAAATTTGTTTCCATCAAGAGAATATCGATGCATTTATGGGAAATTTAAACGTGCAAATGAACAAATATAACACGGAATATCCAAAGTAAGATATTATATTATTAATGTAATATAGTATTGTAAAATTCAAAACAAATTGTAAAATTTCATAAAATTTTGATTTTTTCTCTTTCCCTTTCTAACTTTCTTTTACATGTAATTTAATGTAATTTAATGTAATTTAATATGTAAATAATAATAATAATAATAATAATAATATTGTTAATATTATAAATCTATAAGCTTTTTTTTGGTATCAAATATTTTACAATTCGAATTCTAGCTTTAAACTTTTTGATTTAGAAAATCAATTATATTAACACGATTGATGATGATTTCACGTTATCAGTAACGTGTCAAATTAGTCACTGAATGCATAAGTTAGTAATGTACCTGTCGATCTTAACTGACCAGTGTTTATTATGAATAGACTACCTCTTGTAGAATTGAATCATGTATCGATACACCAACGACAATTAAACACTGTCAACGTCATCAATAATTACTCCCCTAATATACAATTAACCAACAGACTACTCCAACCAATCTACCTTCATCCGTCTGTTGTTTCGATATATCATGAAAATTTTACGGAAAAGTCTAAACGTAAAAATATTTACAAATAAATGTTAAGAAATTATATATTAACAAATATAAGAACAATTATAATTAGTAATAATTTGAAAGATTTTTTTTTAATTATTAATCATTTTGGATAAATTTTTAAAGAAACGAAAAAAATATAAATTAAAACATAAAACAAAATCTTCATTATTTATTACTTTTCTATAATTCAAATTTTTACAAAAATTTTGTATAAACACAGACTTCTCGCAGCATAACCTTAAAATAGATCTCAATTATAATATATTTCATTAAATGCCCTTCTTAAGATAATCATCTCGCATCAAATTTTTCTATTAAACGAAAACTTCTCTTTTTCTTTCCTCAGAAACACAACGTTCTCTTCAAAAAATATATCAATAGTATATTTAGCCTTCAAGAAATCTGAGATATTACAAATTTTTGAGAACCCATATTTCGAAAATCAATCGATCAGAGAAATCAATAATCCATCGATTATTAATCATTTATTTCAAACTTTTAGTAACAAATCCATCACTGAATTATACATTTTTGAATTTTCATCCGTTCAAAAATTGATAGAATTTAAAATCACTATCGAAAAGTGTACGTCCGAGTATACAAAAATCCCTATTCCACGGTTAGAAGAAATAGCACAGCGGTGGCGCGTCGAGCGCGGATCGCTAGCGCGGCACATCATTAAGCAGGAGAGTAGTCTTGTTCCCCCCTCCTTCCTCTTTCTTTTTTCCCCTGTTGTCGGGTGGTTTCGCGTCCGTGTCGAGTTAGGCGAGTCTCTTTTTCGTGCGCCGCGGCATCTAATCTAATGGGGAGAACCATAGGTGTGGGCATTTTAGGAGAAAATACCTTGGCGACCCGATTGTCACCCGACCGCCACGACAGAACGAGATAGAAGCAGGGGAACAGAGACAGGATGCACTGGGCAGAAGCGAAAGAGCAAGGTGGAAGGATCCTTTGAAGGCGCCGCCACCACTTGTTGGTCGATCAGCGGCCCCCTTTAAATCCGATCGCCACTCATCCTGCCTCCCCCCCACCCCTCTCTCACCGATGCTGCGTTTCTTCTTCTTCTTCCTCCTCTACTCCATCGACAGGATAGGCGCCCTTTTAGGGGAGGCGACTCGGTCCCCGTGCACGCCTCGACGGCCACGCCGGGCGTTACACATTTTCGTTTACATCTAGAAGGCCGAAACGCGCGCCAATAAATTCCACGGCGCCCCGCGTCGGCCCTTTAGCGCCGCGCAGCGCCACCGCAGCTTAACCCTCTTGCCTTTTGACAAGGCGTTCAAAGGACCGCCCGTGTGCATCTCGAATGGAATGTATCTCGTTGATCGGCCCGATTCGACGAGGATGGTTTAATTGTTCCTCGGTGGCCGCTATTCTGTGGGAAAGTTGGTAATTGCTGAAGAACCGCTTTGTTCCTTCCATAATATTTTTTGGATTGGCGGCACGCTTTAAAAGTGAGGTTATTAGCGATACGTAGTGATAATTACAATGATTTTGAAATACATTGTGTGCTTTTAAATATCCTATAGGATATGTTTGGATGTTTGGTCTTAATTTTCGAGATATATATGCAAAAGTATATCGTATTTTCAATGTTTAGTTCAATATAAGTTTTAGGTTAGGAAATTAGGTTATGCAAAGATGTATTATGTACTTCTTCAACAAGTTTTAATTGGGTTAAATTAAACAATAAATAATGCGAATAATATTCCTGTTAATATTTGATCTAATTTTATTTCGTGCTATTTTATTATGTAGTGGTTTTTTTTAAACATATTGTATAATAACCACGTGAAAATCCGTTGTTTCTCGCAATTCAAACAACCCAATTCTTATCTTAATAAATCATGATTTACGAAATGAAAATATCATTACTAATGAACGACATGGAGAAGCTTGGTCGTACTAGTATTGCTAATTAATATCACTTCCTGGCCAGTACACGATCCATTTATCGAACGGTATATCGAAATTCTGTGTCGAATCGAATTTGAAACGTGGAAACGTGTAGTATCAAGAAGAGTAACGATTTCCAGCGGGAGTCGGGGGAAGGCTGAATCGCAGAATAGATCGGAAAACAGAAACGGGTCGATGTTATAATTAGTGTAACAAGCTGGATGTTTGCCGTGTTTAAAGTAAGAGCCAAATTGGCACGCGGTTGCTTGCTGTTAACGATTTTCATGCTCGTCTTCCGTCGCGTGATTTGTACACGTGCCATATTTTCCTTTCTTCTTTCCTTTGATGTCCCATCGTACATTAAAGCGACGAAAGTAGATGTCGTAAACGCAACGCGTAATAAGTTTGACGTATTTTTCTTTCTTCTGTACTGCGAATATTTTAAGATCAGCCACTTCTAATCTAATCTTAATATAAAATCTATATTATATGTAAATCTATTACATATGAAAGTATGAATATCGCTCAACTTAACCTAACCTAAACTTGAAATCTTATTTAAAATTTTCACACGTACAATTATATATATATATAGGTTACTTAACCTAATCTAATCATCGGTGAAATATTCATTTTATCGAGAATTAAAAAGTAAATGCTTCACTAATTGGAGGAAATTCTTCGAGGACGCAATATATTGAATTAAATTTTCATTACAGATAAATATTTGCGATTATATCGCGAAGTGCTGCCCTCTTGTTGACACTCGACATCTTTCACCTCCTAAAAATGATTCATCAAACTGATTTATATATCCTGAAAAAAGAAAATGATAAACTCAATTTCCCGAAAAAATATTTTTCCTTTACTTACCCTTTTTAAAATTAACATATTCATTGACTCGACCTACCTCATATTATACCCTTTATAAGGTTAACAAGAGATCCAACGTATCGCCAGAAACGAGAAACAATGCGTTTGCCAGTTAATTTGAAAGTGGAGGGCGGAGAGAGGGCGCCAGGATCGGTTATCGGGGCCCGGTCACGCGGAAACAATTCGAAAGATAATTTAGAGCTTGACACAGCTCCGGTACACGGGCCATAATTAAGAGTAGCGACAATTAAACCGTAACACGGTCTCGTCCAATTAACGTAGGAAGGCGGCACGAGTCGCCGATATAGCAATAACGACACGAGGAAACGCGGCGATAAAGAGGATCGTGCCATGGAATCAGAGGAGAGAGGGGTAAAAGCGCTATGATAATAACACAGATTATCGCGGTATTCGGGAAATTACTGGTAAGCGTACTGGGCCCGGTACATAATTGAACATCGGCCAGATACTGGTCCGTGGGCGAGGTGCGTGTGAGCGCATAACGAGAGACAGCAACAGCGTTTTGGCTTGGCTGCCCCCGTGCACTCAGTTCCTGTGCTTGTGTGTATGTGTGTGTATGTGCGAGTAGACAGACACGTAGAAACATCGAATAACACATATAGAAACACGGAAATATTCGTATTTCGATTTGAATGCCCACGTGAGACGGTCCTCTGTGGAATACTTGAGTATATTATAACTTAGATAAATAACGTTTTTAATAACAATTCTTACTAATCACAATTTAAAGATTAATTCTTATTTCTTACTCGTGTACGACATATTGAAGTATCAAATAACATATGTAGGAATACATAAAGTAGATATTTTGGCTTAAAGTATATTTTATTATAGACACATACTATACATATAGCATTATATATACATTTGTGCATACACACTCAAAGATGATATTATAACGTAACTTTATGCGAGTCGACTCGTACATCCAGCAACATTGGGATTCGTACTTTGGCCTGGATGCTCGCGTATATCAATTTCGTATGTATATTCTGTGGTATGCGACACACATATAAGTTTTCCCTCTGTGG